GCGCACAAACCCAGAAGACAATCTGATTTTCAATAAACACCAGGTTTTTCTTCATCTCACGTGTCCCACTCGATAGTTGTGCGTGGAAGATAACCCTTTCCGTTTCTGTGGTCTCAGTTCTTTCCAAAAAGCTTCATGAGTTAACTCTCCTTAGAGCAGCTGGATTTTTAATGCTTCCTGCTCTGGACATGCCCCCATTTTCTGAATTGTGCTACATTCACATCACCCAAGCAAGCAGTGATGGGTAATAAAGCTCCATTGTTCTGCCTGTTGCAGAAGCACTCCTTATCAAGAAATCAATTAAATGTATACTTACCCTGTAGCTTTTTGCTATCAATGATGCTATTCACAAGCTATGTACACAATGAGCTGCTTCACTGAACRCTCACCATCAGAAAAATATTTACCCCCCAAAATGTCTGCTACGAGTGACAAGTTTCAAAACAAGTTTTCTTTTTTTAATGTAAACTRCCTCCTTAAAGGAACATTTACATAATATCATAGTTTTCTTACATTAAGGGCATAAACTGCACTCACACTCTCAACTAGTGCCTCACTTGTGCAGGAAGTATCATCTAATAAAGAAAAATAAAGCTGCTTAAGTGGGTCAAAAAAGTCTGTTTTAAGAACATCATTCTGAGCATCTCTCAATTACCCATTGCCAGTGTCTTAAAATAACATGCTGAACTCTGTTCACACATATTCTTTATTACATTGGATGATCTGTTTTTTCAGGGTTTTTTATAACATCACAAAATGAAACAACAATAAAAAAATAACCATGTGCTAGCAAACTACTTCRAAAACATCTGTTTAGGATTAATTTAAAGAACTCTTTCAACCAAAAAGTATGTGTATATATTTATCACTTTAATAAAGATATATTCAATTAATTTTGAAAACCAGAGTAGAAAATTAATTTCCCTCCCACAGTCTTAATGAAGAAATAAAGAAACTAATTTCCCATTGCTGTTAGAGGGGTAATCCACTCCTTCACATATTAAGAAATTAATGTAACGCATCCAGTCAGCCAAAGAGTCTCTGATTCTTCCCCTCCCCCTAATCTCTTGCACCAGCTTATTTGGTGCAACATAATTATGGAAAACAAAGTTGGAAGAGATCTAAGTCTTTTTAAGTCTCACAGATTTTGGTCTGTGCTAATTTTAGATCTGATGCTATTTCCAGTAATATAATCCATTGAATTTGATAGGGTTTGCTAGTTTTGGTTTTCTTT